GGAAATACAGGTGTGAATCCTTTTGCGGATCATGAAATACAAGTGTGAATCCTTCTGTGTGCATGTGTGTATTATGAGACTGTTCTGAGCCCATACATTGCAGGGTATTACTAAATGCTGTCACATGTCCCAACATGTCTTGTGCTGGGGAGCATTTCTCAGGGTTTATACAAAAACAACAGATGGCACAGAGCCTTGATGTGGCTCTACCAATGTTACAGTATGTATTCAAGGCTGTAATGTGTTTGTGGTGACAACCAAACGCCTAACAAACTTTATTTCTTCAAGCAAACTACCTATCACATATCAGATTACTATGCTTTTAGCAAACATACGTCTATTTCCTTCATCTTCATTCAGCTGCCCTGCAATTGAGGGCGGAGAGGTATGTCGTACTTCATGACTTGCCTTAGTGCCACTTTCACTTTCTTTCTCTTAAATCATGGGATTGATTTAAAAAATGTAAATGTATACGTGTTGTGTACATGTTTAACCCTTAGATGCACGAGTGACTGGACCCTACACTCTTCCATAAGTGGGTCAAAAAGGACCCGTATTAGAATAATATGTGTTTTTATGCCATTTTTGTCATTTTGTTTAAAAAAGATCACTTGTATAATATTTAGTATTATATTTTGGTTCACACTAGAAATATTTTATATTTAATTTTTCACTATTTATAATTTTATAAAATAAATTACATTTTGAAAAAAAAACGAAATTCCATAGAAAATGCATGCGGGTCATTTATGACCCACTTATGGAAGCTTGGGGTAGTAATACAAAAACTACAATTTCTTAAAATGTATAACATTTAAATAAAAAATGTGAATGGCATGATCTCCAAAACATGTTTTTTGAGGAATAGCTGGAATATTAAATGATAAAAAAATGCAATTACAAAGATACTTCAAGAATACCACCTCACCGGGTCAAGAAAGACCCACTTATGAGCTTGGGGTAGTAATACAAAAACTGCAATTTCTTAAAATGTAAATTAAAAATTTGAATGGCATGATATCCAAAACATATTTTTTGAGGAATAGCTGGAATATTAAATGATAAAAAAATGTAATTACAAAGATACTCTAAGAAAACCACCTCATTGGGTCAAAAAAGACCCACTTGTGCATCTAAGGGTTAACCCATTTAGATGTTTTTCCTCCAGTATTTTTTTATACTGGACATAGAATGGCAATCATTACCCATAATTATTAAAATAAATGTCATGTCTTTTCTTTCAACATTTCAACAGTATGGAGTGGAACTGTTTTTTTTAAAGTCTTTCCAATCCCTCACACGATTAGTGTCATCATGTGTGGTGGTGGCTATCAGCCTGGAGTAAGCACAGCGACTGTACCACACAGGAAACACTTGGAAATATCCCCAGTTTGGGGGATTCGCTGGGGGGATGCCCAAGTACTGCATACACAACCCCAAATACACGTCTTCAATGTAAATAGCTTTCACATGTCTGGATGCCAAAATAAGCTTTTTAGGGAGGTCAATAGACAAAACGTAGCCCAGACCCAAAGCGTAACGTGGGTATTCTGGCAAAGAGTAAAGCTCCACAGGAACGAACCACTTGGATCGTGGATCTCTTAGAACTGTTGCTCCCTTCGCCACTAGTCCGGTCATGTAGTTTGTCTTTGGAGCACTTGACAACATATGAACGAGTCTTGGCACATTCAGGAACATGTCAGAGTCAATCTTCATGGCGTATGATGTGATGGAGCAGTGGGAGTCCAGCCACTCCAGCATCACCATGGTCTTGATGGTCAGGTTCTTGTAGCAGTCCAGGAAGTCGCTCTGCAGCAGGTCGTGGTGCTCTCGGCTCTCCTGTAGCAGCTGATCCTGGAGCTGCTGAACTCCCTCTCCGGTTGGCAGCCCCAGCAGGAAGAACAGGTTCACCACTTTTCCCAGTACCAGACTTTCACCTCCCCAAGTGCTGCGGATGATGTCCCGATGCGCCCTGTTGTGGAGCGCCACGGGAACCATCAGAACCAGGAAGGGCTTCTGCTGTTCACATGTCTTTGGCTCGTTTATGATGAAGCTGTACTTATATGGGTATTCCACTAAGTACAGGCCCGGAGACTTATATGGAACTGGTGCTGGTGGTATAGTTTGTGCCAACTGCTGAGTCACCGCTGAAGCTTTTGTATTTGTGGCAGTCCTGTTGGTCATGTTGGTTGCTGTGATATTTTCAGTTTGAAGAAGGACAGTCAAGTCTGACTGAGTTTGGAATCCAGTCAGTTCAGACGGTAGTGAGCCATTTTTGCGAGAGCCCACGTTTTGTCTGTGATCTTTAAATGGAATCCACCATTTTGCTGGGTTCCAGCCAGTCGTCATTTCTTTTATGTCTGTGCAGTAGAAAAACAAAACTGCTGTGAGCACAAGGATGAAAAAGAGGCAGTGGCGCCGTGAAAAACCCCTTCTCCACTTTCCCAACAGCACCATAACCTGGCTGAGAGCAGAGACATGAGACAAGGAGCAGGGAAATGAAGTTAATTTACTCAAAGACAGTTACCATTTACTTTATTAAAAATATAGTCTAAATCCACTGGTAAATTATAATATATTGTTACTCCTACACATGCACACTCATTAGTATGAACCGGTATTGATTTATATGTAAATGTAGGTGTGTGTGTGTGTGTGTGTGTGTGTGTGTGTGTGTGTGTGTGTGTGTGTGTGTGTGTGTGTGTGTGTGTGTGTGGGTGTGTGAGGTCAAAGGTACAGACAGCACCACCTAAAGATTATATTGTCACTCATCATTATATTACTTTTTACATGCTGCGTTGTGCCGACATATAAACTTGCGTTATGCTTCAGTCATATAATGTGCTATACACACACACACACACACACACACACACACACACACACACACACACACACACACACACACACACACACACACACCTACATTTACATATAAATCAATATGTGTGTGTGTGTGTGTGTGTGTGTGTGTGTGTGTGTGTGTGTGGGTGTGTGTGGGTGTGTGT